AAGATATGAGAAATTAAAAGAATAGGAAAATTTTAGAATATTAGCAATAACAAATTTTTTTCTTTGAAAACACTGACAAAATTAATGAATTGCTGACAAATCTTATCAAGAATAAATGAGAAGGTACAAAGGATCACAGCCAATTTTTCATTTGTGCTAGCAGTATACTTAGTTTGACCTTTAGGAAATTAACAGAAATAGGAAGTACAAAAATGCACAAGAAGTATTTAATGAAATTTGAGTTTTTTTAATAATAAAAATCTTCTGGTTCTCAAGGAAAAGAAATTCATGAATCTGAACTTTGGTGAATCTAACCAAAGCTACAAAAATACCTTCTTAATGGCAAATTAATAAAAGATTTCCAGGTGTGCTCAGAAATGAGGCAAAAGATTACTACACTATATCTCTTCTGTTAAATACTGTGCTGATCATGATAATATTAGTCATTAGAGAAGATGGGATGGAGTTGGAATTGCAGATTGGGTAAATGAAAACTTGTAAAAACACTCTGGAAACCTTGACAGCATCTATTAACGTTGGATAGTCATAATATGCCCCAAGGTATGCTTTGCACACAGGGTGTCTATGTTCATGGCAACATTATTATATTAATCACAAAATAAATATACTATGGCATAAAAACAATGGAATATGGGTTCAGTATTGAAACTGAGTGACCCTCAAAAAATAAAATAGAAATAAAATCAAGACAGAATAATATATGAGGTATAATTCCACTTATATAAAATTGAAAAGAGGGTAACGATAGCTTCCTATGGTAGAAATCAGGATAGTGGTTACTTTTGAAAAAGAAAAACAGGCTACTTGACCAGGTAAGGATGTGAAATAAGCTTCTGAATGGTTTGTTTTGTTTTTCTTGAATTGTCTATTTAACTCTTTGGTAGTAATTTCATAGATATGTTTCATTATAACTCATTAAATATTTAAACATATTTAAAAATTAAGTACCTAATAAAAGAAAATTATAGAATATTAATCAAATGAAGCAATCCATCTTTTCCTCCCTTTTTTTCCTTCCATTTTTCTTTGATTTCTTTTCTCTTCCACTGGTTACAGCCCTCTTGCCTTTTCCTCTTTTCCTCTCATATTTAGAGTCCAGGAACTCCAGATAGTTAATGAGGAAACACTAGAGGCCCTGTCACTGAAGTGAGGAAGAAGCCACACATACTTACCCTCTCCACTACTTAAACACTATTAGATATTTTACTAGTGCAATTAGATAAATACAAAAGGAATAAAAATTGGAAAAAAAGAAGTAAAGTAGCCTATATTTTAGAGTAGATAATATCCTCTGAATACCTAAGGGCATCCACATTGAAACAAATACAAATAGTAAAAAAAATTCAGATTTTTTTTTTTTTCAGAACCAGGGATTGAACTCAGGCCCTTGCACTTGCCAGGCAAGCGCTTATTTACTGAGCTATCTCTCTGGCCCTAGAATGTTGCATATTAAATTATAGAAACTATATTCTTTTGGAAGAGGTAATGAAGAGAAGAGCCCATATAAAACTTTCAAACTTTATGAAAGATATAAAAACATTCTTGATTTATGTTTCATTATTGTTTCTCTTTCTGAAACTCACTCTTTCCTTGACATTTAAAAGTCAAATACCTCCCAAATTTTCCATTCCAGGGAATTATGAGGCCACAGAGGAAAGTGATCAATGATGTAGGGTGTGCCTAAGGAGAGTCACCTAGAGAGAAAACGTTCTCTCAGGCTTTCACAGAGAGCAAAATGGTCAAGCAATGGCCTTGTGACTCATCCACATGGCTGACACTGACAAAAGATGTACAAACTGCTACATGCTTTCAGGGTGAATCCTGAGGGGACTTAACTGACCTTGTCAGATACAAAAGTTACATTTTTTTGTTATACAGGTCTTGCTTTTTTTGATCTTAACAACCAGCAGAAAAATGTAAACACGAGGTATAAAACATAAAGCCATATTAATATGCTGAGCTGGAATAGACTCAAGTCAACAACTTCTGACATTGCCAGTCCTGCAGATAACCCACTACTCTTATGGTCTACTTGACTATATTGAATTGTTTGGCTGAATTCATGCACCTATAATATTTGAATGGCAATGGATTACCCATCTCTGACAAAACTAAACAAAGAAGGGGGATATAAATGAAGGACCATTTTGTAGTAAAAATATTATATATCTGTATATACAAATTAGTTAGGTTAGATATACAGCTGTTTTTTCTTAATTCAATGAGAAGAAAGATTTGTACTAATATTGTTTAGACATGATATCATGTCTGCATCTTGTACTATGAATAACTATTATGAAGACAACCATATGCAATGTATTAATTATTGTAACTGTCTTAACCTGTTTTGAAACTGTCTTATTGCTATTTCTTTCTCAATAAAATTAATTAAAAAAATAAAATAAAATAAAATGCTGAGCTGGGGAAATAGCTCAGCAATCTAAGTGCCTACCTGGTAAGCACAAGAAATGGAGTTCAGTCCCTGGTACCTCATGCTGTGCTGGCCCTGTGCCAACCGAGTCCGAGTTGCATAGCAAGACCTTGTATCAAATGCATAAAATTAAAAAAATAAAGTCAAATGCTGATTTCATGAAACACTTGAAAATTCTAATTTTCTTATGTATTTAAGATAATCTGTCTCCCACAAGTTTCAATATGAAGTATTTTCACTACTTCTATTTCATACAGTTAGCTAAGGCTGTTTCTTTGCCTATTAGTTAAATAGAACTGTGTTTTAGCTTCCAAAATGTTTTTGTTCCTGACTTCTGATTATCACTGTGGTTTGAATATAGTATGTATAATTTTGATCCTTTGTTATTGAATAATTTAATAATTAACAGCTGCTTTTCTTCAGGGGTCACTGATTCTGATAATATAAAGAACAAGTTATTCTATTCATTTGCTTTTTTGTTACTTATATTGTGAGAGACTTTAAAAAATTATACATGTATCATTTATGACTTGGACATTGTAAATATTTTGGTGTGGACAAATGTGATTGTGTAGTGGGGTTCTTTGGTCTTGATCCCCCATCAGTACAGAGTAACCTTATTTGATGTCTCCTAAATGTCAGGATCTGCTTATTTCTTCCTTCATTCTGTGAGTGATTTTAGTGGCATATTTCTTGTGTCATAGTATTATGTAATTATCTATTTATGATATTCTGATGCTCAGTTTATTCTGATTTACCAATGCTATTACTAATTTTTATAGACAACTTTTATCATTGAGATATTTATTTTCATGAAGTACAATAGTATATTAGGAAAAGACTATGACATATGGTTCCAAGTTTGAAAAAACTATATTACTCATTTTCTTTCTGTATGTAAAAAAGATTGAAGTTAAAATGTATCTTACTAAAGTTTGTGACTATATGAATTTTATTTTAATAAATATTTGAATATATATTTATCTTTGATGTTTGTGTAAAAAAATTTATCTTAAGTTAGTATGTAAAGAAGTTCAATTTTGTCAAAATTTGAAATTGTCATTTAATTTCTAAGTATATTATAGCATCAAAATTGTGATATATTGCTTTAATAGTATAATATTAAAATTTTATTAGTTCTCAAGTGCTTATATTTTAAAATTACCCTTATTATTGTCTTAGAAATATGAATTTCTTGAATAATTTTATGAATTTGGTGGGTTTATCAGCTGTTAGTGTAAGATAATTAATGGTAAAGGATGTAGGATTTGATATAAAGAAGTTTGAAGCTAAATCTCTTGCCATATATTTTAAGTGCATAACACTGAGTTACTGTATTGATAATTGGTTAAGGGTCCCTTTTCATCTTCACTTTCTATTTCATTCTTTTCATCTGATTTTTACACTTATTTTTGTATTGTGTCATATATATTTACATGCCTCCCTAATTTTTCTTTAGAATTAGGCATAATATTTATTAGTAAATGTTTATATTGAAGCAAAATTGATTTGCCATTTTAATTATCCATAAATGTATACATATTTATATGATATTATGTGGTGTTTGATATGACATATATGTCTCCTCAATTTCTTTGTGATGAAAACACCTTTTTAATTTTTTAAATTTTTAGAGTACTAAATAGTATTAAAACAGAAAAATTATAAATGATAACAGAATTTCACTAAGTAAAATGATATGAATTTCAGAGTATTTGTTGTAATGAATAGTGTTGTCTTCAAATTAGTTGTTCATATTACCAGATATATGCATGCAAAATAGAAGAAAGAAAAAAGAAAAATATAAGAAATTAAGAGAAAAAGGACCAAGAATTGAAGAAAAAGAGACAAAGCAAATTATTAACTGCACTTTTCACAGGCCAGCAGAAATCCACAGTATAGTTGTATAAACCATCCTATGAAAATATTTTAATGTAGGAAACTTACATCAAATTTCTAAGCCAGGTGTAGTGTGCATGCCTACAATTGCAGCACTCAGGAAGCTGGGGTAGGAAGATTGGTGCAAGTTCAAGGGCCCCCTGAACTGTGTTGTGAAACCCTGTCCCAAAAAGACCACAAAAGAAAACATGGGGCCAGGGAGATGGTTCAGTGGAATAAGCGCTTCCCTGGCAAGCGCAAGGACCTGAGTTCAATCCCCAGTTCCACCAAAGGGAAAAAAAAAAAGAAAAAGAAAAAGAAAACATAAAACAGTTCTAGAAAAATAGATATTATAAGTAAAGTTGTATAATGTGGTATGATTTTATTATTTTTATTAGAACCTTGTTTAATATCAACATTAAGCAAATAATTGTTTTAATATTTTTCAGCTGCTAATAGGTTATGAGAATGGTACTGTAGTATTCTGGGACTTGAAATCTAAAAGAGCAGAACTGAGAGTTTATTATGATGAGGTAAGTGACTTCTAAAGTATTTGAAAAGAGTTTTGTCACTTTGTGTATTTTTCTTTTGTAAGATTTATACTTTATCAGTATATTAATCATTGGGAAACTATACCTGGTTCTAAGCCCATGACTCTCACTCTTTTTTGTTATTCATGTAAGTTTCATTTTTGGATTATTTTCCTGAGTGAGCATTATGCCTTGACTGCCAACTTTGTTTTTTGTTTTTGCATTTTATATACTTGGAGTCGTGTCATTTTTGCGGTATTCTTGTCTCTAATTTTGTCTCAGCACTTTTTCTTTTCTGTAAGGTTTTTCCTTATGATCTCAGTTTATTGTCCATAAGGTCTTAAGAAACATTATTTATACCTTCCTTAGAAAATTTATTTATTTATTTATTTATTATTTTATTTATTTATTTATTTTTTGGTGGAACATGGGGATTGAACTCAGGCCCTTGCGCTTGCCAGGGCAGCACTTATTCCTCTGAGCCATCTCCCCGGCCCTGGAAAATTTATTTTGTATGGCAAAATGGTTGCGTCAGGTTAAAAAGTCATATTTTCTAATGCTTACTTTTTCAGAATAAAGCAAGATTTTGTAAGTACATTCACTAAGTAACTGTAAGATCGTGAATTTTTATTTTCCATAACTAAGACCTGATTAGGTTTCCAGTTAAGAGAAGCAGCAAACTCTTATTTATTAAGGAATAGTCTCCTGGTTGACACTTTTATTTCAGAGATTGATTCCAGAGAATTAATTATTTCCATTTTCAGAAGAAGTTAATATGAAGACAGTAAAGGTAAATGATATGAAGCAAAGGTAAATGATGAAAGGGGGAAACATTTATATAGCTGTGGAAATAAAGTAAACATCTATACTATGAAACTTGAACAATTATAGAAGCAGAGAATGTTAGTAATGAGTAATATCTACTCTTATAGGAGAGGGTCACAAAATATTTTAAGGCACCAGTAAAATAAATAGAAAAACATCCCTTGCATAAACATATGCACATACATAACCATACTTTTTCTTTCGTTTCACTTCCTCATTTTATCATTGGAAAAAAAGATCTCACCAGACAAACGTATTATCAACCTAGAATGCTTTGCATGTTTTTTTACAACCCTTTATATCAGCGAAATTTTGGTGGTTTGGGTGCTTAAAGGTATAAGGGATTTCATTAACTTCATAATTCAATTCTTAGTGATGACCTTATATAACATTCTTAGCGATGACCTTATATAACATTTTTTGCTATACGTAAGATAATTGAGTTAGAAGTAAATGATATTTTGGAAATTTGGTCATGAGTATATTCTTCATATTAATTTAAAATACATTTATTGCTTATTGATTTCAACTTAAAATATTAAAATAGTAAGTTTTGAAATAGATACAAATTTTGTGTTTATTTGGAATACATATTTAAAAATATTTACACATTGTGATTTGGCTTACCCAGAATGTGATTTGGCTTGAAAAATTATAGAAGCAGAGAATGATAGTAAGGAGTAATATCTACTCTTATAGGAGAGGGTCACCAAATAATTTAAGGCACAAGTAAAATAAATAGAAGAACATCCCTTGCATAAACATATGCACATACATAATGGCTTACCCAGAATGTGATTCTTTTCCTCTACAGATCTCTTTTCCTTTTCTTTTTTTTTGATGCTTAACTTTTTAATTATAATTATCTTTTATTTTGATGAATTTTTAGGGCATCTTGAATCCTAAAGAAAAGAGATCTTTGGAGCTAAGTTAGAAAATTTTTTTTGTTAAAAACACAAAAATAAAGATGAGTATAGACATTGCTCCCTTTCTCAAAAGTAGCAGCAAAACAAAAGTCCAAATACAACTTGAATCTTTGCCAAGTGGAATCAAAGTGAAGAAGTCTAATAAGAAAGCTGGGGTAAAATGCTGAATTATCTAGCTTTCCTATGGCTTAACATGTATAGAAGTTTTCCAACCTTAAAAGTGTTGAAGGGGGGCTGGAGAGATGGCTCAGTGGAATAAGCGCTTTCCTGGCAAGCGCGAGGGTCTGAGTTCAATTCCCGGTTCCACCAAAAAAAAAAAAAAAAAAAAAAAAAAAAAGTGTTGAAAACTACTTTTGTGGTGAAATGTTAAAATAAGGATTATTAACAGCCTATGTTAGTCAGTAGAGTACAATCATACACCTAATTTATGCTTATGAATAATTTTAAATGTTGATTTATATTTTTATAATTTTATAATCTACTTGACTACTTTAATTCTTCTATATCCTATTATTTTAATATTAGATTGTCAGAAACTTCACTTTATTATATAAACTTTTAGATTTTCCTCAGCACTTTGCCTCTCATATCTAGAAATCATCTATAATTGCTATCTAAAATGACTTCTCATAATAAGTCAGTACTGTCCTCAATATTATCTACAGTGACCCCCCCCCCCGGTATTTAAATTCCCCATTAAACCTGTAGTTTTAGCTCAGCCTTTTAAAATTTCTTCTTTGCATCTCTGTCTTTCTGTTTCATTTATCATGCCTCTCTTCTCTATCACAGAATTTTCTCTTAGCTTTCCTTTATATTATAGAAATATTCAAGCTGAATTCAGTGATGCATGCCTATAGCTCCAGCTGCTCAAGAGCCAGTGGTGGGAGGATTGTTTGATCTTAGGCATTTTAGGCAAACCTGGAAACCATAGTGAGATTCTATTTTAAAAACAAGTAAACAAAAATTATAGATACTCTTCAGAGTACTATGTCATCATTCTTTTTTCTTTTCTCCTTCAGTCTGCATTTATATTTATATCATCTGCCATCATTTAAAATGTTAGTTTTATGCATATACATTTAATATCTGTACATCTCTAGCTTTTTTCTCATTCCTGAGATTTAGGATCAATCTGTAACTATCTGTTCTATAAGTTTGGATAAATATCACCTTAGTAATGAATTTATTGTTTTAAACCTGAACCTTCTTCTGTGTTCTCTTTGAGTTGTAAGATTTTTTTATTAATTTCTATAGAACCTTAAGAATAATATGTGAAGAATCCTCCTTCATATATTGTATGCAATCAGTTTTGTACTCTTTGATTCTTATATTGCCTAGGTAACTTTTTAACTAATTGTCTTTCCTGTGACATATTACCAGTTTAATATATCCTTTGCTAACATGATTATTATTTTAAAGCATAGATCATGTAATCTTCTGTCTCAGAATCATTGAAAGACTCACAGTTGGCAACAAAGTTCATATTCGCTGTTATGATTTTTAAGTCCTGGTGCTCTTTCTTTTAATTTACCTCCTTTTACATACTCCCCACATTTCAGACCTAGTACTCAACTATCTTCTGAACATGCCATTTATTTTTACCTCCAAGCCTTTGCTCCTACCAATTCCTCATCATGAGCTCCCTCCTTGCCTCTTCTTTTAGACAAAATTTTATTAATTCCTTGGGCACTATAAAGTAGTAGGCTATCTAGTTAGCCCTCTAGTGAGTATTCACTGATGAATTAAGATTTTTTTTTGAAATCCAATACTCTTTTCAGAAATAGTTGTGAGAGATTACTTCCATGTTAGCTGTGAATTTTTTCTATCATTATTAGTATTTCTTAAATAATGTCTCACAGAGAAATCTTTCATAGTTTGGCATAAAGAAAACTTTTTAGTTCTTTGAGAAACTGCTACGTTTCCTTTTTCATAGTGGTAACTAGATTTCTGGTTTCCTTTTTGTTTGTTTGTTTTTGTCTTTTTCATTTTCAAGAAAAGGCACAGCCACTGAATTGACTAAGTATGAGTAGTGTTTTAACCTTTCAAAGTTTTATGTACAATAAAACTTTTTGTTAATTTAAGATTTTTAAATTAGTTGTATAATTTTTGGTTTTCAGTAAACCCATTAAGGCCTTCTTTAAAGAAAAGAATGTAAGTCAATCCAAATTCCTAGGTATGTGCTACTTGACATCCTGCTCTCTTAACAATCTGATTCTACCTGCCCATTTATCAGTACTACATTATGCTTCATTTACAGTAATACTTTCGTTTTCTTGTAGAATTTATAATTTTCATGACTGTTCTCCTCAGTGAATACAAATTTAGAGGGATAGGATGAACTTTTAGATTTGGGGAAGCTTGGCTGGTCCGAGTGCAGCGGTATTTGAGTTGGGGGTGCTTTATCTTCCTCCACTTTTGGTGGCAAAGTAACATGAGAGAACTTTACATTGACTGAGGTTATCAAAGTTAACAGAGAACAAGGAAAAAGAAATAAAATTTCTTATGAACCATCAGAGAAAGGAAAAATAAATAAGCAGAGGATAAGACATTGAAGAGTATTTTACTTCTAACTGCCTCTGCTGGAGACTGGCAAAATTTTTCTCTGTATAGTACTGAAAGTAAGGATAACAAAAAACCAAAAACTTATATATTTCATGTTGCTTTTTCTATTCAATCAAATTTTATTTATCTTTTGAAGCACTGATTATATCTGATATTCTTTATTGTATGTTTAATGATTACTATACCCATCGATTATCTGTAAATTCAGTAGCACTTTTGAGAATTTTTCTCACACACATAAACACACATATAAAAATATGCATATGTGTATGTGTATATGTGTGTATTTGTTAAGAGTTCACAATAGTATGTTAAGTATTCAACTACATCCATCCTTCCAGCACTGAATTTCCATTAAAAAATAATGTTAAATAAACCTATTCTGCTTTTTTGTCTACTAGAACTTCTCTCATTGTATTTAGCATGTTACCAAAGTTTTATTAAATAATTTATTTATAAAGAATAAGAAGGGTTTAAATATGTTTATGTGTGATGTTGACACTTATTCATTAAACAGATATTTCTTGAGTATATACTTTATGTAGCATGTCATGGTGGCACTGAGAATATATAAGTTGGAACATAGAAAAATTACTTTTGAGCCTTATCTAACTCAAAACTATTGAGCATTAATATCCTTCAACCTTCTTTTGCTTTGAATCAGTTTAAATAGCATGTAAAAGCAATACAGTACTTTGAGATTTATGACTTAAGAAAATATATTAACCTCTCTAGGCTTATTTCACTATATATTATCTGGGGAAAATAATATTTGTAGGGTTAAATACATATTGTGAGTCTGGCATTTATAAATAAATTATTTAATAAAACTTTGGTAACATCTAGGTTGCCTACAGATGTAGCTATGAGATGTTTTCAAATTTGGTTATCTTAAATATAAATATGAATCTAGCTTGCAAGAAATTATCTTTAATAGTTGTTTTCTATGTAAATAAGTTTTCAAACAAGCATCACAGGATACAGGAAGGACAGAATTTCATTGAACACCTTGTAAATAAATATTAGAAAATTTAGTTTTCATTATCTTAGGAGATGAGTTTGTAGAGGATTGAACCCTGTAGAGGACTGAAGCCAAAGACAGTTCAGAACAAATGTTTCTTTCATGTTAGTCATGCAATAATTTTAAAATATTTTTTCTTTCAGAATATGGAATGATATATCTACTTTTCCTTTTTAACTTATTTTCAATTATTTTATTAGGCAATCCATTCAATTGATTGGCATCATGAGGGGAAACAGTTCATGTGCAGCCATTCAGATGGTAGCTTGACATTATGGAACCTGAAAAGCCCAACTCGCCCTTTCCAGACAACAATTCCACATGGTAAGATGTATACATTGAAGAGAAATGAATATTAGAGTTATACTGCCTTGACAAATTACAGGTGGTGGTATTAGTATGGATGACAGAAAAAGGTTTCTGGTGCCAAATATCTCCTTCCACTTCCTATACTATGCCCCAAATTCTGTACTTAATTTTTTTCTGCCTACTCATGTCCTTATATATGAGCAACACTTAGACATATTGTCAGTCAAAATTTAGATAATGATGGTTGATAATGGACCTCTTCTAAGGTAGAAGAAATAATATGTAGGAAATTAAGACAGTTTCAATGGTTGAAGAGGAACTGAGAATCGAACTGTATTAATCTGAATTTCTGGTCTATTTTCTATAATATTTGTGCTGTTTTGTTTTTTAGAACAAGACATTCATCCACTTATTTCTATTTTATTCAACTAAATTGTGAGGACTATATTAGTAACCATAGGTTTTATTTATCTTTTTATCTTCACATTGGAGAGGATTTAAATCAAAAGAAAGGATTTATATTAAATGTGTATATTGAAGAGATTAAAAATTCAGATGTATTAACAATATATGTGATTCAGATAATCAGATTATTTCAGATAACGTTGGTGATTATCTGAATTACATGTTTTCCTCGTAACATTGGTTATTGTCAGTACAGAAAGGTCAAAACCTAACAGTTAATGACACATTCTGCTTTCAATTTCTGAGCATTTCTTAACACTTAACACTTTCATATGTTGACAACATTAATCTTTATAAGTTTAGTTTGTGTTCTATAATTCTTGTTGAAGTGAAGCTCTATTCACATGTTGTTGTAAACATGAACATCTAAGCATTTTGTAACATATAAGTCAGATTACATTCCTATTACTTCACCCTATTATAGTTAAAGAGGAAGTACTAATGATTTTGACAGTAGAAACAGCCAATATATATCTATTTGTATTCTTTGAGTATATTTATTTCTTTTTGTACTAGCTACTTTTATTTTCTAGAATAATAATTTTCTCTAAATGCCATTTTAGCTGTATCTTCAATGCTTATATATTTTCATTAATGTTATATAATTTTATTAATAAATATGAGGTATTTTCTATATTCTATTATAATTCCTCATTGACACATGAGTTAGATAGATATTTTCAAATATCTAAACATTTTTTGTAATGGATTCTGAAGTTATAGCCAGAGGATGTAATATGATACTAGTTCTAGAAAATGTACTGAGATTTGCTTTATAATTAAGTGATAGCCAATTGCCATTAACATTCTAAGGGTGCTTAAGAAGAATGTACACTTCCTTATTAAGGTCAAATTTAAAATTGAACTTGTATAGATAACAATTTTGCTAGTTTTTAGTTTGATGTTAAAATTTCAAGAAAAATGAGTTAATTTTTCTATTAAAATGTATTATCTCATAATTCTGTTTACTTCTGATTTACATTTATTAACAAATAGGTAAAGGTGTGTAAAAGCACATATTCAACTTTGTGTGATTTTTACTGATACTTATCTAGTGCTACCAATTATTAAGATAGTAGCATTATAATTTCCTAATATTATAGATTTGCCTATTTTTAACTTAATTCTACAATTTTTGCTCATTGTTCTGAGGTTTTGTTATTGGGTGTCTATTAGGTTTCTGATAAGCATATCGTTGACTCCAGTTTTAATTCAGTCTTAGTGTTGGAGTGATTAGTTCATTAATATTAAGTGCAATTACTGAAATTGTAGAATATAGACCTCTTGTTTTATTACTTATGGTCAGTTGTATCATATTATTGTTTTTCTTTTCAATAATTTAATTACTTTCTCTGTATTGTTTTAAATTATTTTAGTATTTTTAATTTTAAAAATACTGACAAGGCTGTGGGGAGAAATTAGCTTTCTGATAAGAAGCATATAGTTGACTCCAGTTTTAATTCAGTCTTAGTGTGTACAATAGATATTGTGAAAGGGAAAAAAACAGCTCAGAAGGAGAGAACAACAGGGATGGAGGAAAGGAGAAAAAAAAAGAAGGGAAAAAATACATATACACACACACACAAGATAGCTAAGATAATTGTACTTCTAATTTCCATTAGTTAATTGAAAGGAACAGTTAGTGCTTATATTGTTTGATCAATTTTGAATACCTATAGGTGGTTATCTGAACAACTATTTTGAGAACAACAATATGCAATATAATAGCCATTGTTAATATCCCGTCATCTTGTTTTGAAATTCTGTATTGTTTATTGTATTCTTTTAAAAAAATCCATTTGAGTTTACATATGATTGTTTTTAATCTTTACTTTTTACTCAGTTGCTCCAGAGGTTGCAGCATACTTCCTTAAATACTCCAGGTCTGTTAGAACTAAAATCATAACAATTCACATAAAATATTGAAGTCTTGTAACTATTCAGTCTCTTTATCTTTCCCCACTGTCTTCTATGTTATAGTTATCACTTGATATACCTAAACATATTTTGTTTTTGCTCTTACTATGCATGCATATTATTTAGAGGAAAAACATTTTCAACATTCTTTTGTATTTATTTTAATTTCTTTTTGAATTTTATTTATTATTTTGTATTTAGTATCTAGAGGAAATGAATTTAGCTAGCTTTCTTAATGTATATCTAATCTTTTTCTTCATTCCTTTTATAATGTTTTATTACATAAAAGTTTAAATATATTGAAATTTATTGAATAGCATACCTGTCATTCAGACTCAACTTCAAGTAATCATGTGCAATTTTAGCACATATTATAAAGAAAAATAAGCTTTATTTTGGCATTTTTGCACACGCCTAAAATATACCTCAGTTTTAATTCCTTTCCTATAATTCCTTCCTTGTACCTTCCTAAATCCTTCACTTTTCTTTAACAGTGTCCTTTCTGCTTTCATGTCACCTTTATTATATTCTATATTTAAGATAAAAAGATGTGATATTTGTCTCTGAACCTGGCTTATTTAAGTGAATATGATGCATTTTCCTATAAACAACATGATTTTGTTCTTTATTCCTGAATAATACCCCCATTGTGTATATATGTTATATTTCCTTCACCCATTCATTTGTTGATTGCTCCAAGCTGTGTACTATCTTAGCTATCTTTGAATTGTAATGGAAAACAAAAGTGCATGAAGGTATTTATATACTATGCTGACTTTCATTCTTTTAAATACAGGTATATACCAAAGAGTGATATAATTGATCAAATCATATATCTTCTAATATTTTGAGGAAACTCATACTAATTTCTATAATGGCTATATAAGTTTACATTCTACCAATGTCTTAGGATACTTTTTCCACATATCACCTCAAATATTTGTTGCTTTTGTACTCTTTACAATAGCCATTCTAATTTGCATGAGATAGACCTTCAATGAGTTTTCATTTGTGCTCTGATTTCTCTTCTTTTTATGTTTTTATTCTATAGAGTACAAATTATAATTAAATCAAAACATTACAAGAGATACAGAATTTCACTTAAGATAATATGAATTTCACAGTATTCGTTATAATATATAGTGTTGTTTTCTACCAAGTTATTCATATTACCAGGTATGTACAAGTAAAATTAGAACAAAGAAAAAGCAAATAAGTGTATAAGACTTTAAGAGAAGTACAAACAATTGAAAAAGGAGACAAAACAAATGAAGTATTAACTGCACCTTTGTATAGATCAGCAGAAAGGCACAGTACAGTTTCCAAACCATCGTGCTTACGTACATAGAATATCTCTTTCCCCTACTCCCTCTCCTGTCCTCCTCCACTCAGTAACTTTCCTTTTAGTAAGTTCATTCCCTTTGCCCAGTTATCTATTGTACCCTTCAGATTTCATTTTCTCCTTTAGAATCTCACACTAAGAAGACAGTATTGATATTAGCACACGTGAGTCTGATTTGTTTCACTTAAGAGTATGGTGTCTAGTTGCATCCATTTACTGACAAAACACTCAAATTTATTCTGTTTCACAGCTGAATAATACTCCATTGGATAAATGTACCACATCTTTTTCCATTCTTCAGTTAATAGGCATATGAATTGTCTCCAGGATTTAACTATGACAAATTGCACTGCCATAAACATGGGTGCATATATATAGCTATGTTATAAGGTTTTCAGTCCTTCTGAAGAAATACCCAGGACAGGAATAGCTGGCTTGAATCAGATATCTAATCCTAGCTTTTGAAGGAATCCCCACACTGATTTCCGTAGTAATTGTACCAGTTTGCATTTCCACCAACAGTGCAGAATGGTTCCTTTTCCTCCACAGCCCCCCAGCATTTGTTATTGACTGATTTCTTGATGTTAGCAATTTTTTTCTGGGGTGAGATGGAATCTCAGTATTGCTTTGATTTGCATTTTGTGAATGACCAATGATGTTGAACATTTTTTCACATATTTACTTAAGTATTTCTTCCTCTGAGAAGTGTATATTTATCTCAGATGCCCATTTTTAGATTGAGTCTTTGAATTTGGGGACATGAGTTTTTAAGAAATTCTTTATATGTTCTAGCTAGAAGGCCTTTGTTGGAGAGACAGTGAGATATAATTTTTTCCAGTTTGTGGGTTTTCCTTTCACTCTGTTTGAGATTTACTTTGAAGTACAGAAACTTTTCAGAAACATGAGATCCTAGCTGTTGATTCTTGGAAATATTTCCTGTGCAGTTGGTTTTAGTTCATGAACTCTCTATCTTTCCCTGTGTCTTTAAGATTTCTACCTACATGGGGCCAGAGAGATGGCTCAGTGGAATAAGCACTTCCCTGGCAAGCGCAAGGACCTGAGTTCAATCCCTGGTTCCGAAAAAAAAAAAAAAAAAAAAAAAAAAAAAAAAAAAAAAAAAAGATTTCTACCTACATTTTCCTTCAGAAGATTCTACATTTTCCTTCAGAAGATATAGTGTTTCTGTTTTAATATTTAAATCATGGATCCATTTGGACTGTAGTTTTGCACATGGTGATTGTCATGGGTCTAGTTTTAGCCTGTGGCATGTGGAAAGCCAGTTTTTGCAGCA